CGAGGGCCGAGGGGCTCCGGCTGGGGGGTCCGCGGCGAGACGCTTTCCAGACGACCTCGCACTGTCTTGGCAGAGCTGGGCCACTGTGCTCCCCAAGCGTCGGCGGCCTCTGTGTCCGCAGAAGCAAGAAAAGCGTGGGGCGAGCGCGGGGCTCCTGCAAGAGGACGCCGCCGAGGGGGCGTCACAGCGCTCGACGCGGGCGTGGTGGGAACCGTGCCAAACAGTCGGTGAAAAAAGGAAGTGAGAAGGATCGCGAGGGTCACGCCCTCAGCCTCTCCAACCCCCTCGCCAGCCTCTTTCTGCTTTGTCTTGACACGTGCACCTGCCCAGGTGAGACTTCACGGGAAAGATCATTCTGTGGGTCCACCTACCCTGGTAAGTGGTATCTTTGGGCGTGGAAATCAAATCCCAAATTAGGTGGAGGAAATAGAGTCTGGCTATCGTAGTGAAATAATCGTCGCTTTCACATTTGTCTGAATTGGCTACGAATTCACACTGTCCGTTTTGACTGGGTGTTACTGAGGAGTTAGTTTTTTTCCAGGCCTGATTATTTAGGTATGCCCTGTTTTGGTTTGGTTTCTGATATTCTGCAGAAACCTTGATTAAATGAAGGTGGGTAGTGTAAAGAGTTTAATAACAGTGACAGTAGTAACAGCTATTATGCGTCTATTATTTGCCTTGTACTAGTACAAAGCATTCTGCACATGTGGCCTCATGCAACATTCTCTGTGAGGCAGACAGTTTTCTTATCTGTAGTTCACAGATGTGGGAACTGAGACTTCCTTGAGTAACTTGGCCAAGTTCACTTAGCTAGTTGGTAACAGAACTTGGACACAAACCTTCTCCATTCCGGCTCCCGAGTCCATGTGTGGAACTCTGTGTTGTAAGTTCTTACCAAAAAAAATGTAGAAATTGATGCCAGGAGGGGACAGGGTCATGTGTCATGTGGGCGAGTCTTTGCCCCAGTGTGGGGACTCAGCAAAGGTTTCTGAAGGTCGTGAATTCTGAATTGAGTCCAGAGCAGGAGTTCACCTGGGGCCAGGAGCATTCCAGGTCTCTTAAGGTGTGAGGGAAAGGGGGGGAGGGAGCAAGAGAACAACAATGAAATAGAGAGTGAGACAGAGTTGCTCAAGCCTGAAACTTGGATCCTTCCTTCCTCTTTTTGTCTCACGTCCCATATCCAACCCCAAGGCACATCTCATCAGCTCTGCCTCTGGAGCAAACCCGAATCCAGTCTGTCCACTCTGGGAAATGCCTGTGGGCCCACAATTAGATTAATAGCCTGCTGTCCTTGATTCCCCTCTTGCTCTTGCCCATGACCCCTTCTCCTCACAGCAGCAGGATGTCAGGTTTACACTTGCCGCCCTCTGGGACCATCTTCTGGCCCCTTCCCGTTGTCCCAGGCCTAAGGCCCTGGGTGACCTGGGCTCTGCTGCCCACTCTGACCTTCTGTGGCTCTAGCCACACTGACCTGTTTCTCCCCTGTCCCAGCCAAGCTTCCTCCCACTAGGACCAGTACCCAGCACTCAGACATTCAGACAGTACTGACAAGGGACATCAAGAGAGATCAACAGAGTGAGAATGACTGAATGGGAACACTAGAGAAAGAGAAAGGGTGTGAGGGCAGAGGGACGGACAGGAGGACACCAATGAGAACCAGGGGATGGGCAGGCAAAGCCCATGTTTCCATGTGACTGGAAGCTAGTGCCCAGGTAGTCGTGGAGCCTGGGTGACTTCTAAAAGGGAATTCTGTACTTAAACACACCAGGGTGGTTATTTATTTACTTAACATCCCTGACAGCGGTATTGAGGCACAGAAATTGCATCAGCCTGCACTTTTTTTTTTACTTTTCAGGGAAAGATAAAAGGGCACCTATCAATAATTTCCTCTAGAGTAAATCGCCTTCTTTTTTCACACAGTCACCATAAAACTTGGCACAATAAGGGCTTGCGCACAGGTGAACCTTTGGAGCACCATGAGGGGAAATTACTCAGAGCTCCAGGAGGGGTGTACATTCCTCACTCTCTTCAGGACATGTTCCTAAAGGATTTGGAGTTTTTGTTGTTGCATGAGACTGGGCACATTCTCACCATATCAAGTTACTATGTTTCTATCAGAGAATTAATACCATTTGCAAAAAAATTCCAAAGTGAAGCCTTAAATGAATGGTTGATATTTTGAGGAACTGGACATTATTTTTCATAAGACAAGAATAAAATGTCTTGTGAATATTTCTTTTCTTGTGAATATTTATATGCTGATGTTTTGCGATTGAAGAAATAGAACATTTACTCATAGTCTCAGTGAATTGTGCAGAAAAGTCAACGTGGAAACAGCGTAAAGTATATTAGTTATAACCAATAAATATTAAGAGGGAACACAGCATCCTCGGAATGATCACTGCAATGTAATAGAAAAAATTGAAATAAGACGATAGGAAAGAACTCAAAGAGATAATTGTTAAAGGTGAATCAATGTCTTTTTAAATGTTCTACAATCTTCACTCAACATAGTCAATTATCAGTAACCTGAAAATATTTTCTTAATTACTTATCTGGATTATTTTTACACAACTATAACTATTCTTGATAGTCTGAGATCTGAATGCTAGCTGTTGTTCTGTCTATGGATATTTTCTGAAGTTCCTGTGACTTAATTTTCCATTGAATGAATATACCATTCAACATATTTTGAACACACACACACAAATTCTACTTTTTTATGGGCATGTGTTCCGTGTAGTCACACAGGGACCTGTGCTTAGAAGGGCTTTAGAAGGGCTCCATGCTTGGGTTAATGCTCCGATCTCTTGAATTTCTTAATTGTTTTTGGACAAGGGCTCTCTCATTTTCACTTTGTACTGTAACTGCTTGTGTACACACACATGTTAAGTTACACACTGTGGATAGCAATGCTTGTCTTCAAGGTGATTTCAGTCTGGTGGGGAGATCAGAAATTAGAAGTGTAATTTCAAAAATAAAAGAATATTATAAAAAGGAAAGGATGAGATGTGTTTCAAAACAGGGATTTAAGGCAATCTAGGCAGACTCACTTGAAAAATGAGTGAAATCAGGATTCAGAAAAGGTTCATTTACCTGTCCAGTGGGAAATGGCTATAATGGATAACCTCTCATTTAAATCAGATCTGTTTGGTTTTCAAGCTTGAGCATGAGGATGAATTTTAAATTTTATCAAATGACCACTGAGCGTCTGTTTACGTGGTCGTGTTTTTTCCTTGTTGCATTTCTAAGTAAACCACAAATTTACCATAATGCTAAATTCAAGTTGCTAATATTTAACGTAGAATTTTGCAATTACATTCATAAATGACATGTGTTTGTTCTCCCTGTCATATTTAACTGAGCTTGGGCTATTTTTGTCAGAATCTATTAGTTTCGTAAAGGGATTTGGGAATTCTCTTGTATTTAGGAACTGTAGCTGTTTTAAATATTATGTAAACTATTTGTTTCTGGATGGCTGACCAGAGTTCAACAATGAAACATGCTTAATTTAATAAGAGGAAGCCCAAGGATAAGATGAGACCGCCCGTTCTGAGCACTGTAAGAGTGAAAATAAAAAGGTTTCTGTGGGAGGCTGAATCAGAATAGCCACATCAAAATATCAGGATCCCTGCTGGCAGTGTGTATGTCAGCATCCTGATGATGGCTTGAGTCACGGAGATGAATGAAGTCACCCAACCTGCAACTAGAAAGAGGGAAGAGACGGAGAGCTGATGCTGGCAGAAACCCTGAGATGAAAACTCTCACGGTGGACGGAGAAAAGTGTGCCCACCAGCCAAGTGGCAGACGGCGGGCCGCAAAGTGGGAGAGTCAGAAGGTGGTGTCCCAGCAGGCAAAGGATAGAACTTCCCATTAGATTAAGCAGCCAGTGTTTCCAAATAGATTCCCAAGGGACTGAACAAGGTGAAGACTGAG